TGCGCCACATGTAATCAAAGAGTGCCGTGTGATGACATCATCAGCCGTGGTCTGGTTCGCTTTTGCAGGTGTGAGTGCGGAACATAGAACCCACAGCAAACATGCCTGTGCATGGAACATCACATGACTCTGAGGAAGAATGCAGGGAGCAGAACAAACAGTTACTTATAAAAACAAACTCTCTGTCTGAAAAAAGAACCTAATAAAATAGAACTATGTCCTGTTTTTCACATTTTTTAGAAAGTAAAGCAAAAAAAAAAAAAAAAAATCAACATATGTGTAAGAAATGTAAGAATATTATAGCCAAAGGAACGACATTTCCATGGAAACAAACAGGAGGAAGCTTTTTTCTAAGTCATATAAGAGTCAGGTTTAGGAAGATGTAAGCCTGCTGGCCGTAAGGACGCATGTTTTTTCAAAGTACTAAAAAACATCTGAAATGGGAAAATTAAGTAAAAAGAAAAAAAAAAAAGAGAGAAATCTATATAATCTATTTTGGGTTAAAAAGTTACATCATGTGGCTTTAATAAGTCTCCATACCTATCTATCTTTTATGTAAAACATTCACACAGATTCGTCTGAAACAGTCCGCTCTCACCATACAATCACATGGGACCGTTTAATGAGACCAATGGGGTAATACCCATCTCTTTTTATTCAGGCTAAACTCCAAAACTCTCGGTATCAAAACTTTTGGCTTCTAAGTTTGACCTGTTCTGTAATGGGCAGAGTTTGAGCTTTGGTCCCTGTAGTTTTGGGACAACTCTGGCTCAGTCTTCACACCATACGCTCCATCAGACAGCGCCCCCTAGAGGACACGTGTTGTATTTAATGAGCAAAGTGACCCTGTGCTCTGGTCCGTGAGGTTTCACACGGTCGGATATGTCACCTGTCCAGAGACACAGCTCCAGTGAAGTCTCCATCTGCTACTTTCACCTAACCTCATACATTATGTAAAATGACTAGGAACTTAAAGTGCACTGTGGAACTTTTCTTGGAGAGGGTGCACCAACTGCATGTCTCCATGGAGATGTTATTGCTTTGAATTCAATGTTTAATAGTATGGTATTAAACTGATTTATTTATAAATTGCAGTTTCTTTTATTGCTCATAAGTTGTTTGAAATACATACATTCTTACTGCGAATGGGGTCCTCTCTCCGCAGATCTGGGGCCTCATTTATAAAAACTGCACAGGAGTTGTCGTAAGTTAGTGCGTACGCCTAGTAGCTACGACAGGCGTGTGCCACGCAAACTCCATATTTAGAAAACCCACCGCACGCACCAAACCACGCAATCTTTGCTTTATAAATCCCACCTGCAACTACAATTTGCGCACGTAAACCTACGTCACGTCACTCCCCCTCCACACCTCCACCTCACCATAAAAGGAGCATGTAAAGTGACTCGTGAATGAGATTTCCCTAAACATGAGCCGATAATCAGAGGGTTTGACCGAGACACGCGGGACAGAGGGAGGACGACGCTCCATGCAGCCCCACGTGATCACGACAAAGACTTTATTAAAGACTTTATTAAACAAGGTTTAATAAATAAATACAAAACTAAAAGTGACAACAATGACTCATCTGTTCATTTAATCATTTTTTATAATATTTAGGCAGAACATCTTTGCAGTAAAACACGTGTGTTTTTTCGCTGTTTCAAGAGTTTTATCACTATATTTTTAAGTCTGTCTATGAAGTGTGTGAGGACTGGCCCTGTATTTATGCATATACACATAGATACATGCACGTGCAAATTATGAGCGCGTGCGAGAGCTTCAGATGCCCTCCCCTGGAGAGCAAAAGGAGTGAGGGAGGGACACGAGGACACAGATTTAGCATGAAACACATCAGATACAGATGTTATTCTGCCAACTAAAGTCCACACGAAACATCCAAACTGCTGAACCTGTGAGTCTGGGTCTGGGTCTGTGAGTGTGGGTCTGGGTCTGTGAGTGTGGGTCTGGGTCTGTGAGTGTGGGTCTGGGTCTGTGAGTGTGGGTCTGGGTCTGTGAGTGTGGGTCTGGGTCGGGACGGGCACGGGCATTATTCTGTTCTTCATACAGTCAGAGAGCAGCTCTCATGTGCTCAGTTCCCCATTACACAAAAATGTAGGGAAGATTTTGGTTGGGGTCAGGTTCGGGCAGTAGGCTTTGTGTTGTCCGCAGACTCAGGTCACTCTGGCGCTCGGTGCGTTAAGACTAAAGTAAAAGTTGTGTTCATTAAATCAAAGCCTTGCTCCTGCTGCGTCCAAGGGAAGAGTTTTCTCTCAGGTCGGGTCATTATTTCGTCCTCTGTGTTGGTCACAGTCTGTGTTCTATAGAAGTCTATGGTCTTGGTGTGGACTGTGGGACTCTGCGCTACACCGAGTCCGGGAACGTGGCCGCGCTCGTGCACGAGTGTCAAATGTATAATATTGTGGAGAATAATGAGTGGAATAAACAGCCCTTCTCCGTATTTTGGCGAACCAAACACTTAAATGCGCAAATCAGAAGGTAATTCTTCTATATACGTGGATTTTCTGATCAAACACTTCCTCAAACTCTGTCCACTTCTGCTTCTCACCACGAGTGTCGCTTTTTCCCCGTGTCTCCAGACTTTGCGTAGAACTTACAGGAGGTACCGAGTTGGCGTAGAGTTAAGCAAAGAGCCACGCCTTAGGCGAGTTTTATAAATACTGCGGTTGGCGTAGGAAGCGCGCACGCACGGATTTTTGCGTAAGCAAGCTTTATAAATGAGGCCCCTGATCTGTAAGTTTGCCTGATGACACAACCTGCTTGTCTTCATGTGTGACAAATAAGTTCAGTGCCTTGTGGCCATTTTTACTTTGACGGAACAAAACACAAACTGAAAAACAGACTGGCTGAACACAAATAGGTTGTATGCTCCTGTGTACTAAGAATGTGCATTACAAAGAGGCCAAGCATGGGCAACTGTCAAAGCCTAAAAACCTGTGCAATTGATCATATTAAAGAAACAATAGGAGGAGGTAGATAAAAAAAAAAAAACAACTACTACACAGAGTCCTACTTGATCTAATCTCTCAAGGTTTCCCAGTTTCCAGGACTCAATGGAGAGTTAGATTCTCCCCTTCCTTAAAAAAAAAAAAAAAAAAAAAAAAAAAATATATAATATATATATATATATATATATATATATATATATATATATATATATATATATATATATATATATATATATATATATGTCCATCTTGGCAGGACAAGCCCCTACATGGGACGTACCACCGGAAAATAACTGAAGTGGCTGATATCAACAGATCCTTCCAATGTCTTGAGAGGGCTGGTCTGAAGGACAGCACAGAGGCACTGATCCTGGCTGCTCAGGAGCAGGCCCTGGGCACTCGAGCAATAGAGGCCCAGATCTACCACACCAGACAAGACCCACGGTGTAGACTGTGCAAAGAGGCTCCTGAGACAGTCCAGGACAGAACTACAGGTGTAAGATGCTGCAGGGAAAGCAAACATGGAGCGACAGAACCAAGTGGCGGGCATAGTGAACAGAAACATCTGTGCAGAGTACGAGCTGGAGACCCCAGGATCAAGATGGGAAACACCTCCAAAGGTTGTGGAGAACGACCGAGCCAAGATCCTGTGGGACTTCCAGATACAGACTGACAGGATGGTGATGGACCAACCAGACATAGTGGTGGTGGATAAGCAACAGAGCAGAGCCGTGGTGGTGGACATCACAATACCAAGTCATAGTAATATCAGGAAAAAGGAACATAAGAAACTAGAGAAATACCAGGGGCTCACAGAGGAGCTGGAGAAGACCTGGAAAGTGGTGCCTGTGGTGATCAGACACTCGGGGCAGTAACCCCCAAACTGGAAGAGACTACAACAGATACCAGAAAAAACAACAGACATCTCAGTCCAGAAAAGTGCAGTACTGGGAACAGCAAAGATCCTGCACAGAACTCTCAAGCTCCCAGACCTCTGGTAGAGGAAGGTGAGAAACACACACACACACACACACACACACACATATATTATATATATATATATATATATATATATATATATATATATATATATATATATATATATATATATATATATATATATATATATATATATATATATATATATATAACAGATTTTAGTTACTATATATATATATATATATATATAGTAACTAAAATCTGTTCGGCCTACATGATGTCCCATTGTGCACCAGGGGACTGTGATCCAGTCCACTGTGAACATGTGACCTGATTGAGCTGAAGAGCCAAAATGCGTTGGAGTGATTTTAACATTAGCTGCCATGTGCTATTAACGGCTTTCATTATTTTGTACTTTTTGAGTACCTCAGTTTTTTTTGGTCCCTGCACTGAAGAGCACCAAAATGACAATTTTGCACAATCTCTGTACATACAAATAGCACTCCTGCCCTGTGAAGTTTTGCAAAGTTCAGTGCCTGTCCAGAATATTCGTGGGAAAGCAGAAACATTTCTACTGAACAAGTAGGTGGTGGACTAGAAATGTTACATAGTGCATCTTTAACTATACATATAAAGGACAATTATGGGACAGGGTCACAGTGGTTCTCAAAATGTACAGTGAGACTCAAAAGAAGAAATGCAATACTGCAGACTACACTTTGAAATACTTGGTGTACGAATTGTGCTATAAAAATAAACTTTTCTTACCTTATCTTACGGAGCCCCTAAAGCGCTACGGGGTGAGGGTTTAAAAAAAAAAAACAACCCTGAGGAATTATCACACAATCCCATTAAAAAAAAAAAAAAAAAAAAAAAAACTGTGCCTCTGCCATGTTCCAGAGGCAGCAGGTGTGTGGGGGCACAGTTCAATTACTTCACAACACTTACAGTAACCAGCTTTTCTGGTTCAAGTTCCTGGTAGCTACACCTTCGGAATGTTGGCCCCAACAGAGAAACAGAAAGTATTCAGTCACAGCAGACACTGCACTCATCACAGAGCTGAAATAAACCAGGACGTTAAAGGATTTTAAAATGGCAGAAGCCCTGTTTGAGAACTACCTGACCTGCCCCATCTGCCTTGAGCCTATGAAGGAGCCGGTGAGTCTGAGCTGCCACCACAGCTTCTGTCATGACTGTCTCTACAACACCTGGGACCAAAACCCAAACAAGATCTGTCCTGTGTGTCGTCGAAGGTCATCCCAAGAAACAGTGGAGGTAAACTTTGCCCTACGAGAACTGTCCCTGTCATACAGTAAGCAGAAGAAGACTGAAGAAGCAAAGGTGAAGGAGGCACAGGTCTGCTCCTCTCACCCCGGTGTGCCTCCTCTGTTCTGTTTGGAGGAGGCCAGAGCGCTCTGTCCTGTGTGTGAGTTCTCTCTGCACTCACAGCACACGGTGGTGAGTGGAAAAGAAGCAGAGAGGAGGATAAAACAGCAGGTACAAACCCAGATACAGGCTCTGAAGGACCAAAAGCAGAGTTATGAAGAACTGGAGAAGACCTATGAGCAGCTGCGGCGCCACCATGAGGAGCAGACAGTGGAGTGCATGACAGAGATCATACATGTGTTCTCTCAGTTTCACCAGATCCTGAAGGAGGAGGAGGACAGGGCTTTAGAAGCTCTGAGAGCAGAGGAGAACAAAGTGGCTCTGAGTCTGGGTATGGAGCTGCTGAGGGTGAGGCAAGAGATCTTCACCCTGACCAACAGCATCCAACACTTGCAGAACAGCGTTGACACCCAGTCTCTCCCCACAGCTCTCACTCAAGACTACTCACCCCCCACCCCACAGCCCCGCCCACAGCCTAAAGAGGGACTTCTCCTGAACCAGGCCAAAGTCCTGGGGAACCTGGGCTACAGAGTGTGGATGAAGATGAAGAGTGTGGTGACCTACAGCCCTGTGATCCTGGACCCCAACTCTGCAGGTAGCAGCATGCACCTGTCCCAGGACCTGTGTGGAGTGAGACACGGGCACCCACGGGAGCTGCCTGTGGTCCCAGAGAGATTCACCAACGAGCCCATAGTCCTGGGCTCTCAGGGCTTCAACTACGGGCAGCACCAGTGGGACGTGGAGGTGGGAGACCTGCCAACATGGGACATTGGAGTGGTCAAAAAGTCTATGGACCGAAGAGGACAGATTTATGCTGATGTAAAGTATGGAATGTGGTGTTTGTGGCATGGATATGGGGAATATAAAAATGGCAGTGGTCTGACAATCCCGGTGAATCCTGCTCCAAAGAAGATCCGGGTGACTCTGGACTATGAGAAGGGAGAGCTGTGTTTCTATGACGCTGACCTCATGACCCTCCTGTTGAAGCACAGTGCTGTGTTCACTGAGACTCTGTTCCCTTATTTGGGTTTGGTTCCTACACTTGGAGCCGAGACCCAGGAGGTCCGGATCTCTGGAGGTTTCCCAGGCCTGTCCACAAACCCTGCTTAGGACAAAGAAGATCAGAGCGATCGTCCACAAATATAAAATATAGGAAGAAACATCACATTGACATTTATCCATTTTGTAGGTATGTAATGTTAAAAATCTGTTTTCCTTGAGCTGTTGTGTAGTTTACTTGTAATGTGTTATATGAATTCTTAATTCATTTCAATTTCAATTCATTTCCCTTCATGCGTGCATACCCACTCGCACATTCACCACATCAAAATTAGGACTAAACTGGGAACTAAACTTAGTCTAAACCAAGACTAAACACTGACTAGAACAGGACCATTCAAAGTCCACATCAGGACTAATATAGGCTTAATTTAGGAACAGATAATAAGTGTGAATGCACCATAAGCTGTACATTTATTTATGCAGACTTGACTGAACTGTGAACTGTCATACCTGACCTGTCCTGTATTAAAGCAGGAGGAGTTAACATGTTCTGTTTAACTTTGATTCTTAAGGTAGTAATAAGGTAGTAAGGTAGTAATTATTTAATAACTTAAATAAATTAAAAATAGGACAACAGCAGCGTGTTTTGTTGTGTAGAATTAACTTTTAGTATCAATTCAAATGTTATAGTGTTGTTTCAAACTGGTTAATTTTGGTCATTCAAAATTATTCCCAAATAAAGGCGTGACACACCTTAACATGTTTTAGCTGTTTTTGTGCCTTTAGATCACCTTTTTTTTTTTTTTTTTTTAATAATTTGCAATTTATTCAGTGCTTTTTTGTCCACATAAATCATAATATACATGCCCTATCCCCCCCCACACACCACACACACAGCACACACACACACACACATAAACTCAATATAAATGTAGAAAGTGCATTCAAAAAAAAAAAAAAATTATAAATAAATAAATAAATAAAATAAAAAATAAGAAATTTACAAAATAAAAAAATAAATAATAATAAATAAAATAAAAAACATAATTAGCAATAATAATGATGATGATACTTAATAATGAAAAGGATTATATATGTTATATATATATATATATAATACATACAACATGTATACATATATATATATATATATATATATATATATATATATATATATATATATATATATATATATATATATATATATATATACACATATACACACACACACACACACACACATACAATACACACACATACAATATATACACCATCTATACATACATCACATTTTACATATGCACATATAAATACATATACACCAATATACACATATGTACACACATTTATACACACATACTCATATATATACACATACATACATATATACATACAAATAGATTAAATAAATAAATAAATAAATAATAAGTTAGTAACTTATTACTACTTTATTTTGCAGTTTAAAATTGTGTCTTATTTATTATGACTTTAATTAAGACATTTATTAAAACTGTATTCACTCCTTCCAGAGGTAGTATTAAGCAAAATCGATTTTTGTTTGTGCGTTCTACCATGTTGTCGCGTTGTTCCTTCATCACAAACATGTCTGAATAGGTTTTAGAGTCATCCATGCATGTTTGAGTAATTTAGTGATCTACAAGGTAAGCATACGTCCCATATGACAATTCTCCATAAATCCACAAAAACACGAAATAAAACTGTACACCACAACTTGACAAAACAGAAGCGATGTTCAGTAGTTGTGTTACGATAGCGTTCTGAAGGGGTAGTGACTTAGTGCAGTGAGCAAAGTAAATATCGGTGAATATAGCATTTTCAGAGCAATAGAAGGTAACGTGGTGATCTAAATATGTGATGTGTTAGCAGTTAATACCCCATGGAAATAAAATACTGCACCTTTTTTGGAGGTTAGATACACAAGTACTTACATTTAAGAGCTTTGCAAAGTGCGTGTTTAGTAATTCTTTTTAATCTGTTCAATTTTGTCTTCACTTTACTCCAGTTCACGTTCAGTTGCTTGCGTTCTTGGAATTTCCCACTGAGCCCTGCTTCATTAACAGGGATTATTTCTGCACTCTGGACTAACTTTGCCTCTGAGAAATGATTAAACAACTGTAAAAACATCACATTTATATTTGTACCGACCAAGACAAGAGCTGCAACGAGCCATGAAGGTACAGCCAACCAACTAGAAGGAGAAGTTCAATTTGCCACACATGATTTTAAATAGAGGAATAGGAAAAACAGACATAAACTACAGTATATCAACAATGTGGATACTGTTGGACAAATCTGGAAATGAAAAACTGGACCATTACTTTTTTATGGTTGGAAAAATAAAGTAATGTAGACGGGAAAGAGATGCCAAAATGCAGCGACCCATGGAAGTGAAGTCAACCAAGTAGAGTAAAAGCTCTTCACATAATATAAAACATCAGATTATCCTTAAAGCCAACACACAAAACTAAAAACATGTGTATTTTAAGTCGAGAGAAAGAGAGGAAGATACTTTATTGATCGAGAGGGAAGTTCAAGTTTTGCTACAGCAACATTTCCACTGCGCGTCTTGGTCGTCTTTGTGTGTCACTCAAAGGTCTCAGGTCAGTTTGAGGAGAGGAAGAGCCTTGCCTGTGTCTCTTCATGTAAAGCGTCTTTGAGTAACTTGAAAAGCGCAACAGAAGTGTGATGTATTATTATTTTTATTATTATTATTATTATTAAAAGCCAAAAGTGTTCCTCCTCTGTGTCCTGCGGCCTCCAGGGGGAGCCAGGTGAACACAACGGTAAAGACCTCCTACTCGGATCTCGGATATGACATCACGTCCACATTTCCGGCTTTTTTTTATGTTTTGCGTGTCCGACTTGGAGAAAAACGTGGACACCACCCGAAAAGGTGTTGTATTGGTGTTGTTTATCTTCTGTTAACGACTCTAGGGACGTTTCGCAACGCCCGTTTAAAACAAGTCTGTGTGCAATATTGGCCTCAACACAACACCGACTACCACAACACCGACTATGACAACACCAACTACCACAACACCGACTACCGCAACACCAACTACCGCAACACTGACTACCACAACACCGACCACCGACTACTAAAACACCAACTACCACAACACCGACTACCACAACACCGACTACTACAACACCAACTACCACAACACCAACTACCACAACACCGACTACTACAACACCAACTACCACAACACCGACTACCACAACACCAACTACTACAACACCAACTACTACAACACCAACTACCACAACACCGACTACCACAACACCAACTACTACAACACCAACTACCACAACACCGACTACTACAACACCAACTACCACAACACCGACTTCCACAACACCGACTACTACAACACCAACTACATCAACACTGACCACTGCAACACCGACCACCGCAACACCAACTACCACAACACCGACTACCACAACACCGACTATGACAACACCAACTGCCACAACAACTACTAAAACTTCGACTACTACAACACCGACGACATCAACACTGACCACTGCAACACCAACTACCACAACACCGACTACTACAACACAGACTACTACAACACCAACTACTACAACACCGACTACTACAACACCAACTATGACAACACCAACTGCCACAACAACTGCTAAAACTTCGACTACTACAACACCGACGACATCAACACTGACCACTGCAACACCAACTACCACAACACCGACTACTACAACACCGACTACCACAACACCGACTACTACAACACCAACTACTACAACACCAACTACCGCAACACCGACTATGACAACACCGACTACCGCAACACCGTCTACCACAACACCGACTATGACAACACCAACTACCACAACACCGACTACCGCAACACCGACTATGACAACACCAACTACCACAACACCAACTACCGCAACACCGACTATGACAACACCGACTACCGCAACACCGTCTACCCACAACACCGACTATGACAACACCAACTACCACAACACCGACTACCACAACACCGACTACTACAACACCAACTACTACAACACCAACTACCGCAACACCGGACTATGACAACACCGACTACCGCAACACTGTCTACCACAACACCGACTATGACAACACCAACTACCCAACAACACCGACTACCGCAACACCGACTATGACAACACCAACTACCACAACACCAACTACCGCAACACCGACTATGACAACACCGACTACCGCAACACCGTCTACCACAACACCGACTATGACAACACCAACTACCACAACACCGACTACCACAACACCGACTACTACAACACCAACTACTACAACACCAACTACCGCAACACCGACTATGACAACACCAACTACCACAACACCGACTACCACAACACCGACTACTACAACACCAACTACTACAACACCAACTACCGCAACACCGACTATGACAACACCGACTACCGCAACACCGTCTACCACAACACCGACTATGACAACACCAACTACCACAACACCGACTACCACAACACCGACTACTACAACACCAACTACTACAACACCAACTACCGCAACACCCGACTATGACAACACCAACTACCCACAACACCGAACTACCACAACACCCGACTACTACAACACCAACTACTACAACACCAACTACCGCAACACCGACTATGACAACACCGACTACCGCAACACCGTCTACCGCAACACCGACTATGACAACACCGACTACCGCAACACCGTCTACCACAACACCGACTATGACAACACCGACTACCACAACACCGACTACCACAACACCGACTATGACAACACCAACTACCACAACAACAACTACTAAAACTTCGACTACTACAACACCGACGACATCAACACTTACCACTGCAACACCAACTACCACAACACCGACTACCACAACACCGACTACCACAACACTGACTATGACAACACCAACTACCACAACAACTACTAAAACTTCAACTACTACAACACCCACGACATCAACACTGACCACTGCAACACTGACCACCGCAACACCAACTACCACAACACCGACTATGACAACACCAACTACCACAACACCGACTACTACAACACC